ATTGTCTAGAGGATGCAATCTCTTCAGTCTTCGCCTATTGTTGTTTATAGCCAGGTTGCTTGCGAGATGGTTAGGATGCGCTGCAAGTCTGTCCGCGTATCTTGAACTGTGTCGCCCAATGAGTTCAGCAACTGTGGGAATTGCTAAATCCCTATGTAAGACTGAGTTTCTTACAAACCAGCTGGCTCCAGTCCATCTGCGTAGTGCTTTATTCTGCAGGGTCTGAATTTTGTTCCTTGTAGTCTTCGCCGAGGAGCCCCATAGAGAGATACCATATACGAAGGTTGGGACAACTATTGCCTTGTAGATGGCGGCCTTGCTGCTGTAAGACAACTTGCTTGAAGCTCTCAGCATCCAGTCGAGGGTTTTTAGCTTGCTTTTGCATTTTGAGGTTACTTGACTTATGTGCGCTTTAAAAGTCAGCCTTCTGTCAAGAGTGATACCAAGGTACTTTACTTTTGAGGCTTTGGGAATAGTGGGCCCCAATGCAACGCTTGGGCAATCTCCTCTTCTAGTGGCGAAGGTAGTATGTACAGACTTTTGTGCATTAATGGTGATACACCACCGTTTTGCCCAGCGTCCGAAAGAGTCCAGATATTTTTGTAGTGAGTCTGAAGCTTCTTGCGCAGATACGTGACGTGATAAGATGGCGGTGTCATCTGCATAGGTCGCTATGAGTACTGCATCTGTACTTCCTATATTTGGCTCGGGAGTTGGCATATCTCCTGTGAATAAAGTATAAAGTGTTGGGCCTAGAACACTACCCTGTGGTACTCCAGCCATAATTGGTCTAGTCAAGGATACTGTTTGCCCCCTTGACACTTGGAAGGTTCTTCCAATAAGGTATGAGGATAGCAACGCGAAAAATGGGGCTGGAAGGGTGGTCCTCACTTTCTGCAGCAGTCCCAGGTGCCAAACTCGATCAAACGCCTGTTTGATGTCTAAAAAGACGGCAGAGCAGTACATCTTTTCTTCAAAGGCTCCAAGGATATGGTGCACAACTCTGTGAACCTGTTCCGGTGTTCCATGCTGTCTCCTGAAGCCAAACTGATGGTTTGGAATGGCCTCCTGGCGTCCCAGATGTGTCAGTACTCGTTCCAGAAATATTCTTTCGAATATTTTGGAGAGTACTGGCAACAGGCTAATTGGTCTGTACGACTCAATTTCTCCCACGGGTTTGCCAGGCTTAGGAATCATCACAATCACGGCGCGCTTCCAGCAGGCTGGAAAGTGCCGGATGCGGAGCATGGCGTTGTACACCATAGTTATGTAGTCTATGGTGGAGTCAGGCAGTGCTCTAAGGACTCTGCCGTTTATTAGATCATATCCAGGGGATTTTTTTGCCTTCACTCTTCTGATGTGTTCAAGAACCTCTTCTTTTGTACATCCAGTTATCTGGTCTTCAGCTGGGAGGGGCGAGAGAACGATGTCTTCTGTTGCTTCGATTTCTGAGGCCTCTGCGGTAATCACCGGCGTGAATTGGTCTTGAAGGTGGTTTGCAAAAGCCTCAGCTTGAGCTTCGTCTCCAATGTGCCAGGAACCAGAAATGCTCCGAATGGGATGACGTCGTATTGGCTGCCGTTTGAGCTTTCTTGTAAATTTCCATAATTGAAACTCTGCGTCAGTGGGCGATTCAGCTCGTACCAGCGCATCGCTGATACACCTCTTTTGAAGCAGGGCGAGAGCAGCTTTAAGATGCCTCGTGGCTTCGTTGTACATGGATTTGGCATCAGGCGTGCGTAATCTTAACCAGCGTCTCCTGGCCCATCTTTTGTGTATTAGTAGGTGTTGGGCCTCCAAGGTGAGGGGGATGTTGTACGGAGACTGTTGTCTTGTTTGGCAAGATGGTGGGGCGGCTTGGTGCGCAGCTTTGACTATTTCTTCCTGCAGTTTGTTTGCTGCGTAGTCCACGTCTTCAGGAGTGTTAAGTTCCATTTCTATGTGCAAAGAGTAATGGAGCTCGCGCCTAAAGACTCCTAAATCTGATCCTGCTGGCAGTAGTTGTTTCCTAATGGGCAAGGGCTGTGGCTGCGCGTGGATTGTGACTATTAGTGGCAGGTGGTCAGAGGATAGGTCCAAGGATTCTTCAATGGTCAATTGCCGGTCACAGATGCCTTTGTAGACAGCGAAGTCGATTGCCGAGGGCCTGTGTCCATTAATTGGGTAACGGGTGGGGGCTCCAGTCGCCAATATGCTGAATTGTAAGTTTTGAATCGCCTCAAATATGACTTCTCCGCGACGATTCGCACTATTGCTTCCCCAAAATGGGTGCCATCCATTCCAGTCGCCGCCGATGAGGGTCTTATTCAACCTTTGGCCTAGAACCTGTTCCATGTGATGATCACACAGACCAGTGTTTGGCGGAAGATAAATTGACGCAACTTCGATCGCTCCAATAGACGTAGGCAGGGTGATGGCTGAGACCTGCATTGTTGCGTTGCAAATTGGCAGTAAAGGTGTATGCGGTATTGTTGCTCGTATGAGGATTGAGGATCCACCAAAGCAGTTTGCTCCTTCACCATGAGCCTGATAGTGTTCGTATCCGAAAATTTGTGTAGTGGGGCACTCATGAGTTTCTGTTATTAACATTATATCTATGTTTTCTTGTGAGAGAAACGCAGCCAGTTCCTGAGTCTTGTTTCTCAGGCCATTGGCGTTCCAGATACCCACACGTAAAGCCATTATTTGTAGGCAAGCTTGGTTATGATGGCCATTAAACTGTTTAGCATGGTTGCTTGTTGGGATTGTACTTCTCGCATCGCTTTGAGCTCGGCATTAATTGCGTCAAACTGACGTTGTTGTTGCTGAAGCATTTCAGTGAACAAAGTGTCACTTGTGGTATTCTTATTTGACGGTCCACCTCTAGCGGCCTGTGCGTAAGAAACACCACTAATAGGCGTTGCAAAGCTCGTGGCTTGGGTAATGCTCCGGGGCCTTGTAATTTCGGAAGCAGTACTCGGACCCGTAGACGGTGTTTGTGTGGGACTCCTTTTTTGTGCTGGGGATTGCAATTTGCGCAACCGCTTGTATACTTGGCAGCCCTTATAGTTGGCTGGGTGCTGTAACTCACAGTGCACACAAGTTGGTGCCTGGTCCTTTTCGCGGGTGCAGTCTTTGGATGCGTGTTTCCCGGCGCAACGCACACATCTGGGAGCTTTGTGGCAGTAGCGTTGTGTGTGTCCAAATTCTTGACAGCGATGGCATTGTGTCAGGTCGTTGTATCTTCTTGGCAGTTCCACTGTGCAGCGTTGCCTGCAGACAACTCGAATGTCCAAAATTTCTTTGTTGTTGGGGGCCTGAGCCACGTCAACAAAAAATATATTTAGCGGTGTTTTGTCCATACGGCTCAGTGGGTTGTGCACATTTGTAATTGTGTGGCCTTTGGTTTCCAATTCCTTTTTAATTAGTGTTGTATCAGTGCTGGAGTGAAGCCCTTTGAACACGACTCTATATGGTTTGTCCTCCTTAAGCTGGTAGCAGTGGAACTCCAATTCCAGCTTAGTAAAGTGGTCTATAACTCTGCGATAGTCCTCACTGCATTGGGTTAATACACCTATGTTATTCTTCTTTGGCTTAATTACGTATGATTTAGCATCAATTACTTTATCTATTATCTGTTGAAGTAGGGCCACAGACTTGATGTTTGGACACCATATGGGGGGCGGACGAGGTTTCGGTGTAGTTTGCTGGTCGGTCAATACTGGGGCTTCTGGAGCTACAGGTGATTCGCTGTAGTCTTCATCTTCTTCTACGAGCAGTGAAAATCGATTTTCTGATATTAATGCTGCATTGCTGGTGCTTGGTTCGTCGAAGATGAGCCTTTTCTTGATGGTTTTTGGTGAATTTGGCTGTTTACGTTTCGTGTTTTTGTTGTTAGTGATGCCTTGCACGGAGGCGATATCTATTTTTGAGTTTATTGGCATGATGGAGGCTTGCCTATTTGCCATCACAACGTTAAGCTGGGCTTGCATTTCTGCATTTACCTTTACAGCTGTAGCGAGGTTATTGACATTAGATGTCATCGCGGATTGTGCTTTTGAGTGCAGGCGCACTCGCGCCAAGCGACGAAATTTCGTAAATTGCAATTAAAGCAATTGAGTTACGCGGAAGCAAGCGATAAGAAAACGCTGCGTGTGCGGTTTTTGTTGCTGTTGCGTTGAAGAATGCACCGCAAAGTTCTATTTTTAGAACTCTGCAGCAGTAGAGCTTAAGCGAAGGCTGTTCGAATTCACGTCTTTACAGGTCGAACGACTGATCGCGATTGTGTTCTGAACAAGTCTTCAATCAAAATGCGTCGGCAAAGTTTTAATGCAGCAACTAAAATTCCATGTTGGCGAAGGTAGTTATGGTGGGCGTGGCACTGCTGTGATAAATGATGTGTCGAAAATAAATGATTATATTCTTCACACTTCGTCCACTTGATGGCCGCAAAAAGTTTAACTTTTGTTTTTTTTTTCCTTTAAATTGTTTTCATGTTTACAATTTTGACTAAAGAGCAATGTGAGATGTGAGAGAGAGTGGGAAAAAGATAGGCGGGAACTAAAGAGCCTTGCTATGAAAGTGAGTGAATAAATTCAATTTACTAACTAATGATCTACTGAACTTGTTCACTTCTGTTCGTTGACGAGTGAAACTCTTTACTCAATTCCACTCACAGCTTTAACATTAAAGTTGCTCAAGCTGAAATCTCACTCAACAAACTATAGGAAATATTTATCCCAATTTCTGCTGCTGCTCTGCCCCCAGGAACAAAAAGTACATTTAAGTGGGCCATTTACAATGATTGTGCATTAAGTGAACTTTTTGTAGGAAAAAAGCGGCAAATTGTGCCAATTGTTTCCGCTGTTTATGCATAAAGTGCAATGCACATCAAACTGTGAGCCACTTAAAGAGCAAAGGCAACACATGCAAAGTTATCAACCTGGCACAAGGCATGTAAAACTGTAAAACCTTTACAACTTTTATAATTTTATTAATACATTGTGCATTTGAAATAACTTTACAAAATATGTAGTGAAAATACAATCGGAATGCTTGTCAAACCAATAGCAACCTCAAAGCAATCGCAATATACATCAAACTGTAACTGTCGCTGCCACTTAGCATGACACAATACATGCCAAACTTTAATTTCCTTTCCAATTGCTTTAAGAATTTTAATAGAATTTCGCATATTTTCGATAACAAAACGAATGAAAATCTTTCCGATACACTTTTAACAACTAATCCGCCTGCTCCTTGGACAGCTCTCCAGATGGCTGATTGGTGGTGGGCTTATCGCCCGAGCCACTACCCGAATTGGAGGTTTGCACGGCCACCAACGAGGCGGAGGACTCTGTGCGTGGACGAAGGACGACGCTGTTGTCGCTGCTCTCGCTGCTCGAATCGCCCACGTTGAGGTCGCTGTTCAAGGCCTCTGCAGGCGGAGGCGGAAGGTTCACTGGCGTCGGCACCGTCATGCAAATCCGTTTCGAAGGCGGCGGTGCCACGTGACCCAAGCGCGCGTTGCTCAAAGTTGTGCCGGCTGCAACCGAATCGAAGGACATCAATTCGCCAAAGTAAACGTGTTGTATAACGGGGAATTTGGAGAGGATCTAGAAGAGAATCGAACCAAGCAGAGAGTTAGCTAAGAGAGACTCTCTCAGTTCACAGTGATTGCCAAACCTCCTTTTGGTACATCTTGACCAGGCCTGCATTGATCTTGATCCAAGAAGGTACCGCCGTAATGCTCCATAGCTGATTCGAGTGCTCGCCAAAATGACCCGTCTTCACCTTGCAGATGTAATCAATGCAGCTGATGAACATATATTGCTCCTTGAAATCGGCTATGATTTGCTCTTCTACAAATTTGGCTGGATCAAAGGGACTTTTGACTGAAAATTAGGGGAAATTTATTTAGTTAAGAGAGGATATTAAAAAGAGCAATTTAAATGCAGAGGGAAGTGAACTAAGAGAGTGAAGATTGGATTTTATCTTTTGAGCATAGATTTTAGAAGAGTGAAAATAACAGTAAAGATTCTAATTTCTAGGGTAAAGAATAAAGTAGCTTGTGGACTCACCAGCCAGTTGGGCACTGCCCCAAATAAAGGGAACAAACTGGTAGTCATCTAGCGACCAAACGCCTTGACTGCCAGCTGGCTCCATATTATAATTGCGTTGCAGTTGCCGCGCGAACTGCAAATAACGATTAAAAAGTCGCAGAGCAGCGCTGACAATATCCTGTTCCAACAATATCTCAGCTTTGAATAGAGCACATAGGAAGAAGACAAAGGAGAGCTCGTGCCCAGTACCATAATCGATGCGCGTAGCATTGCCAAAGCTCTCGAGCAGATATTGCAGCAATTCGTTGAGATGCTTCTGTTTGCCGGACGGCAGCAATTGGAGCAGCCACGTGGGCAGCTGCTCCTGCATCGAGCGGGACCAATCTCTATAGGCTTTATTGCCGAATCTCTGTGGCTGCTCCAGCGGGGGATGCTTCTCGACTAGTTGCTCCAATGAATCGAATAAGCCTAATAACTTGCGCAGCACATCCGATTCGTACATCTCATCGGTCGTTTTGATACCCTGTATAGCCGAACTGGTGCCATTGATATACCCTATCAAATCATGATATGCGCGCGAGCGTTGCCATTGAGCGAGGTCAGAGATATTATGCACTCGCTTTTCGGTAGCCGGCACTTTGCCTGCAAGCGTGTAAGTGAGGGGTATATTGTAGTCTATAACAATTTTAATATTGCTCTACTTTACCGGCTGCCATTGCATTGGCATCTGCCATGCTTTAATTTTAATGTTATTTGTAATGTTTTACTTGAAATTACGTTTTGTTTGGGAAAATATAGAGAGAGACGCCAATGTTATCGCGATTGCTAAACAGCTGTTCGCTGCAATGTGACCATCTGCAATGAATATAATGGCGAAATACTGCATACTAAAGCACATCGTTCATTCGAGTCACTTGTGCTACAGCCGTTAGCAGTGTGGAAGCATTTAACACAGCTCACTCATATGTTGAGCCGGTGAATGCAAACCATCTCTCTCGATTAACATATATTTTAACAATATGGTTTATTTTAAATATTTAACGTTCAGTTCCAGTTCGCTTAAATCGCCTATTGGAATTGTAAGCTTGCTTCACATCGGTATTGTATAGCTCAAAACTTGAATCGATACTAGTTCCGATATCTCAGTTCATTGATATCGAGCTTGTTCAGCGTCGAACTACACAACGTCAACAATATAGCCAGAAAAGACACCTACGCCGGCTTTTTGACAAGAATTAAATAAAATTAGTTAAGTCAGCAAAATGCTTGAAACTCTGTACAATTTGCCCTTCCACATACTAGTACCGCCAAACATTAAAGTACGAAAGTTCTCCCTGCCTCTACCCTCGGCCATGGGCGTTTTCTCCGCTGTACTAGTTTCCTACTTTTTGGTCACGGGCGGTGAGTGAAGCATCAATATATAAGAAATTAATTTATATTAAATACTGTCTTTTAGGTATCATCTATGACGTGATTGTGGAGCCGCCAAGCGTGGGCGCCACTGTCGACGAGCACGGACATTCGCGGCCTGTTGCCTTCATGCCTTACAGAGTGAACGCCCAATATATTATGGAAGGATTAGCTAGCAGCTTCCTCTTCACGATCGGCGGCTTGGGCTTCATTATAATGGATCAGACCCATGCGCCTGGTAAAACGAATCTCAATCGCTTGCTGCTCACTGCCATGGGCTTTGTCTTCATATTGGTTTCCTTCTTTACAACTTGGCTCTTCATGAGGATGAAGTTGCCCAGCTACTTGCAGCCCTAAAGAAGTCGGATTAAGCAAGCTTTCATAAAACGGAAATCTCTCTTTAATAAGTATTATTAATTCCATGGCATAATATGAAATTGGTGTATTTTCATTGCATTTCAATACATTTGCAGATCTTCTACCCAATTTATTAATTTATCATTCATGGAAAAACAACTGGACGTCTTCTGGTTGGACAGCTCCTGCTTTAGACTAACAATTCATCTGTCCAAGCCCCTCTCTTTCTTCTAGTCTCGTTTCGTGTTGTCCTCTCTTGCCTTCTGTTTCGGCCTTCTCGTTCGGCCAAATTTCTATTCTCTTTGGATCTCAGCCCCGTCAGTTTGATTCTCTATTCTCCTGCTTTCTTTGCTTTGTTGTGTTTCAAAAAATCGAAATGCTTGCAAAAATAGTTTTTCAGTTTATATTGCGGCGGCAAAGCGCGCAGTACGCCCGTATCGAAAATATTGTCTATTAATAGAATTGTAGAAAAACTGAAAATCTATTTTGGTTTTACAATACATAAGCTGAGCAGCTACAAAAATCAGAAAAATAATATAAATAAATACGAAAACTTAGCCGAAATAACGTTTAACAAAAAGTGAATAGAAAATAAGTTAACATTAAAATCTTGAGCAAGTGATGTAATAGAAACACAACCAGGTAGAAGAGGAGGAAAACAACTCGGGCCACTGACACGCAGTTTGTTTACAAAACAAATCAAAGAGAAACGAAAGCAGGAGGATGTCCAAAAAGTTAAGCGTGCGCTCCTTAAGCGACAGCTCGCTGGCGGAGTTAGCAAATCTTTTGGTATCCACGATTAGCTACGTTCAATATGCACCCGATGTTAATCTGGATATCAATATAGTTATGGTCGAGTTGAATGAGTACCTGACACAAGCGGGCGCCACGTCTAACATCTATCAGGATCTGCTGCGTGTCATACTCAGCTCCGACTATTTGGAGGCCAATATGCGTTTCACTTGTTTGCAAATGTTGTTGAATTGTGGCGTTCACTTCCTTGTCACGGAAGTCTTTCCTCCCAGCTATTATGAGAAGATCTTGCAGGTGATTGCGGCACAAGGGGCTGCCTTGCGTGTCCTCAACCTTAAAGGGATCTGGGTGAAAGAGGAGCACATGCACTATATGTACGAAATAGTGAGACGTTGCAAGCAGCTGATCAAGCTGTATGTGCCCTATATAGCGAATGATCAGCTCCTGGAAGAGATTGCCACGAATTGCAATCGTTTACAAATCTTGGATATATCGGGCGAAACGGACATTACGGAGATTGGCATCGATTTCCTCGCCAAGGGCAATTGTGCGCAATCTTTAACGATCGTGGATGTGGGCATGCCTGGTGAGGAGAATATTTGTTATTCTGATATAGCTCTAATACTCGAGCACTGTCAGCATGTGGAGACCTTGTCTACCTACTCCTTTGTGGGAGCTGCTTTGAAGTTCATCTACGATAATGTAGATAGCAGCTTTCAGTGCAAATTGAGATATGTCCATGATACGGCAACGGATGAAACGCAGCTGCAGGTGATCATGCAGACGTGTCCACAGTTGGACACGTTGTATCTAGACTCACCTAAGTTGGGCGCACTGCGTGCCTTGCAAGCGAAATCTTTAAGAAAGTTGAAGATTTGCAAATTTGTGGTTGCAGAACTAATGTCACTGCTGGAGAAGCCTATTGGCAGGAGTTTAAGGCATCTGACCATGATCAAGGGATCGGGAAACTTGGAGCTCGGCAAGCTAGCTAGAGTGTGCCCCATTCTTATTGATTTGGATTGCTATGTAATTGAAAGTCTTTCATATGCTCAGCCACAGGCGCGTTTCCAGCAACTGGAAGGGCTCGAGATTCTTAGCTGTGAAATGATGAGCAGCTCCCTAAAGGCGTTCCTCTGCAGTGTCACAGACTTGAAACGTCTGGCAGTCGATTCTGTGGACTTTACAGATGAAGATATAGTTAGGTATCTATACTATAAAATACATATATAAACATATCACGATATGTGAAATACATTTTCCTTAGCATGTTTGTTCAACACGATTTTAAAGTTTTGGAGGATATTTGGTTTACGATCGCACCAGAGCTAACGGTGCAGGCAGTCGAGGTGCGTAGCTGCTCTTTTCCTTCCTCTTCCTTTTATACTCTCTCTCAATCACTGTCCCCATAAATTTCCCTTTTTTCAGCTCCTGATGGAGAGCTGCCCGGAGCTCCAGTCTGTGGGTCAATTGACCGGCTGGTCCTTATCGCCAGATGATTTAGCTTTAATACGTGGCCTGCTCAAAAGTGGCAACTCAAGCCTTGTACTGACTTCCAATGGTTTATTGGCTTAAAAAAAATTCAGATCAAATGCAATTGACATTTTTTTGCTTTACACATTTCGCAGCCTGCTACAAAAACTAAAATTCTGCTCTTTGCAGCGCCTGCAATAGATGTCAACGTGCTGACAACGGAACGTGCAACATTTTGTATATTTAATACATATTATTTATTATTAGTTCATGCTTTGTGATATTTAAATAATAAAACTTTGTTATACTTTAATTGTGAACGCACTTTGCTGCTAGTGTGCGCTAGTGTGACCAGAGTTAAGGTAAACAGTATTTTTCGAGTACAATTTGTTTTCGTATACAACAGCTGTGCGGCAGAGTTGTCAAAAGAGCGTATTCAATTACATACATTTTTCATTAAAAACTTATCACTTAAAATGATATAAGAATAAAAAAATAAGTAAACATAATTTATAAGCCATCGTTTTTCATTGTTTAGATCTATTAAACGTTGCATATAATTATTTAATAATTAAATGCTCTAGTCAAGTCGCATCGCTCGACAGCCCTGCGCACGACTTATACTTTTCATGCGCACTCAAGAAAAGGAAGAAAAATGAAAAAACGCAGCAAAAAGTTTCGCAAATCGCAAAGCAATAATTTATAAACAAATCTCGTACTAAACTAGTTATTTATCCAATGCAGTGACATTAATAATAAAAATTAAACTATGAAAAACTATAAAAACAAAAAGAAACAACTTCCGCCGACGTCAGCAGCACCCGCAGCCGCAGTCGCAGAAGAGCCACAGCAGCAGCCACATCAATTTTAATAGAGCTAAAAGAAAAAAATCTCAAGTACCGTTTTTAATATGCAAAACGAATCTCATTGCAATAATTTATAACTGTGCGTGGCTTATTCATTTGTTTATTGCGCGTTGCCCGTTGTCATGCATTTTGTCACACAACAGCGGCAGCAACAGCAACAACAACACAAACAAACACAACAGCAAAAATCAACAACAAAAACAACAGCTCGCTTTGTGTCACTCTGCAAATCTTCCAGCCAAGGTGCTTTGCCCAAATCCTTGGCCACAGCTCAAAGTCCGCTGCGGCAATCCTCACAACAACAACAACAACCACAACATAGGCATAAACGAGCCGCCAGCCTTAATTTGAACTCCATGTAAGTTATCCAACTACCACAAAAAAAAAAAACAAAACGAAAAATAAAAAACATGATCTACTTTTACTTGAACTACTTTTAGCTTGAAAAGTTGATATATATATTTAAATACATACATATATACAGTTATATTTGGTGTAGGTTTTTCTTGCTGGTTTGCATGTTTAACAGTTACATTTGCCCGCTCCTAATTTGCATGCCGTGTGTGTGTGATATTTTTTTGGTTTTTGTTGTTCCTTTTTTAGTATATTCTTATCAGTAAAATGGCAAAGAGATAATCCAGTGTGTCAGTGTGTACACATAGATGAGGGACATTTCGCGATTTCCAATTCCAATTAGAATTGTGTTAGGTACAATCAGAGTATATAGCTCACATGCAAAGGCCAACGTGAGCTGATTTTATAGCGAAATAAACAAGGGTTTAAAAGTCGTTTGTTAATTTGAATAAATTTTCAAACGACTTATATAAATGTTTAAAGTAACTGGTTATTGAGTGCATAAATGCTTATTGGAATGTAGCTCGTCTGACAACCTAAAACAAATATTTTCTTATTCGAATTTCCATTCCAATAATGAATGTCATCTTCTCTATTCATAGTACAATTAGAGTTTAAGGTGGTATTATCATATTTCTGCACAGCTAATTAATTGCTGAACTACGCCAATCAATTAATAATTATTCGACATATATTACTGCTTGTGTTCCGACACATTACTCATTGACTAATTGATAAGGCTTCCCAAAACAAAAAAAAAAAAAAAATAAAACAGAACTTTTGATTTCGCAATTTTGTGATCAAACCAAAGCGAAGTAAAAAATGTGTTCGAAGAAGTGCAGAGCTACAGATATAGAAGAAGTGAAGAGCAGCGATTGAAGATAATAAATTCTGACTAAGTTAAACTTTTTAATAGCTGGAAATTGAATTGTTCAACTAAATTTCTTCGGTGCATTAAAAAAATCCTTCTATAGTTAATTCATAGTATAATTGGATCAAATTAAAATATTTCAAAATTTTGAAAATCTTACAGCAACAAATAAAATATATATGAAATAAATTTTTTTTACATTAAAAAAAAATAAAAATAATAAAAGTGATCTATAAAATATTATAAATGTCTTTTGTTAATTAACTTTTAAGAAAATAATAAAAAAATATATTAAAATAAAATATATATTTTTCTATAATTGGATATCATATATATATACATATATATATATATATATATATATATATATATATATATATATTTAATAAAATATATGACAAAAAAACTTGAAAACAAATAATGATAATAGAAAATTAAATGTAATTAATTTAAAATATAAAATAATTAAAATAATTGCTACAATTAAATTTATTAAAAATAAATTGTAATAATTTATACTAATAATATAATATTTATAATATAAAAATAAAATTTAAATAAAATATTAAAAAATCAAACATATATTGACTTTAACTAAAACAAATACTAACTTTAAATTTTAAAATTAAAAATGATGAATAATAAAGTTTAAAACATCTTTAAAGAATATATATATTATTATTTTCTAAACTTAATTTTCTAAAATATTTCCTCTTACTTAAAACTTAAACAGCCTAAAAAATAATTGCTCAAGCTTCTCCTTGCGGCATTTAATGCATGAAATTTGCATAACACTTGGCCAAAAGCGAGCAGCGAAGCGTATCGAAAACAATCGGCACAGCCGACTCTTGCTACACCAAACAACAATACCTATATATATACAAACATATATGTATATACATGCTTTTGCCGGTTGGGTCGGGCAATTCGCGGCGCTTTTTTCGAGTGCAAATTCAAGCGTCGCGCTGAAATGACGTTCGCTCTCCGTCCGTCGGCTTTTAGCATCGCGTGAGGAGACAACAAACAAAAGAAAATTCAAAAACAAACAAAAATATAGTCCAAGAAAATTAATTAAATAATTAGGAACGTGAATGGCTGCTCCACATAACACATATTAATGGCATATTTGCTAAAAATAGATAAAAGTAAGACAAAACGAAAAGAAATGAATGCCCCTCCCAAATCGAGTTTCGTCATCGTTTTTCCAATTGATGACACAGTTCGAGTGACCCCTTCGTGGCTGACCCACAATTAAAACAATAACAAAAGCCCGCAACAAAGATTTGCAAAAAACAAAATTAAACAATAACAAAAAACGTTGAGCTGAAAAAACGGAAAAAAATGTAAGTTATTTACTTATTTTTGCCACTTTTTCATGCATTGAAAGTGGGTAAAGTGGCTTAGTTTGAACGTGTGTGACAGGCAGGTAGACAGTTGAGTGCGAGCAGCTAGCTATACCTGTATGAACGTAGCAGTAGCTTGGCAGTGGAGACCGATCTGAACTGAACCTTTATCATATATTAATTAAGTCATTTCAACCTCTTAATAACAATAAAAATTAACTGTTAGACTTTATTCTTTAAGCTTAACTCGAGAGTTAAAACAGTTAAAAATGTCAAATTTGCTTTGAGTGTTGAAACCATTTCTATAATTGATTTGTTTGATGTCATGTAATACAATAACTTCTGTTTGTACAAAAATAAGCTAGCAACCTTCATATTAGATACAAATTTATTTGGAATTATAATTTTACAATTGAGTTTTTATGAAAACAATACAAATCGAAATGAAGTCGTAATATATTAAGCATAATTCGAGAATTATATGAGCTAGAAAATTGATATGTGTATGCTCGTTAGGTAACTAAATAATATCTATAATTGATTAATGGATATCATGTTATGATTTTATAATATATTCATTACGACGCATTATGGCGTATTTTAATAGATGCATATTGGTGTATCGTTTCTCATAAAGTGATTCAATATAAGAAGTGTCGATATTATAGTTAAAGCTGTGGCATCTGCTTTATGTGGCATACAGCTGTATGCGTTCAGCTAGAGTCTTTCTTAGGGTATCTTATGGTCTAACACTGTTGTCTATTTGATTGCTACTAGTGCTTACTTAAGTTTTTATTGATTTTTCTTCTTTTTTTTTTGCTGGAACTGGTTTGTTTGTTTAGTTGGGCAGATTATTTATTGCTGTTGTATTCTTTGGGGCTGTCATAATGGCTTGCTTGTCTAGACCATCCCAACTGTATTTCCACTTAGCTCCAACTATATTGGGCATGTTTATTCATAAATAATTGTTGTATAGTTGCCGTTACGCGCATATTGTATTTCCCCCGGGACACGCCCCTCTCGGACACTAGCCAAAGGTTATCTTAAAATCTGATATTACAAGCTATTTAGCTGTAGGTGAGTTAATAATGATTGCCTTTTGATACAATATGTATATGCACTTAAATATATATGTATATATATGTATATTGTGGCATTCCAAAAACTTGTTTCTTTGTTCTTGCCTTGGCAAGTTCTTGATGTATTCCATAAGTATTTCCTGTTAGAAATAATTCGTTTCTATAAATCATCTAGTACTTTTGTGTACCCCATGAACAATTTGTTCGGTAATACTTTGTGTTTACTTGTTTCTTAATAAAATACACATTTTGTTGTTGTTCTAACAATGGGTATTATTGTTTATTATATAGTATATGAGAGAGATATGAAATATATATACTCTATACTTTATATTAATTAGGTATATCATTGATTTTTTCTTCACAATTTCCATTAAATAAATTAAATATAAAATCGATTTTGTTAGGGTATTTCATATGCGATATAAGGAAAAGATACTTTTTTTATTTTTTTAGAGTTTTGGAAGCTATATTTATATTGCCAGAAGCTGCCTAAAGCACTTGTTTATCAAACTTCATATCAGCTGAGATAATACACATAGTATATACCCTGAAAATATTGTTTAGGCAAACAAGCTTTACGATCTTAGATGGGATAGCATGTAGATAATTATAGAACAAATATTTAAGAAGTTCTATAATTTAGGGAAAGAACTTTAATTATATAATTATACTATAATCTATTGTTACATTAAAGCAAAGAAGATCGTCACATTTCTATAATATCTGAGAGATATTAGAAAATGATATATCATTTATACAGCTCTTATAGAAACAATAAAGAGCAAATGAAAATACTTTATAAAAATATTTGGAAAGGTTTCTTTATATATATATATCTGAAATATATAAGAATTCACATATTTATTTATATATATTTATTTATATATAATTCATATATTTATTTATAATATATTTATAGCTCATATGTCATCTAATCCCATACACAGCTGTATTAGATAAACTTTTGAAATATATATTTAAATCGCTTTGTAAAATACATATATTTCATATAAATCAAGGGTATTTTAGCTTCAAACTTTTGAGTTGATTCTATTATTACTTAAGAAAGAATTTTTTATTATTATTCGTTTATAAACAAAAATATTTTGCTACTGATAAGGTCCGTGTTTTTTGTTTTGGTTCTTTTTTTTTTGCTTAGACTTAAACAAAATATAAATTTTATATGAAATCAGTATAGTAAGGGTAGTTCCGCTGAGTGTTTTTTAAAATATTTTTTTTTATTAGTTTTTTAATTGCAAGATGTTAAACATTTTAATTTTCAGACTATACCAAATGTTAATGGAAGTCCCTCAAATAGTTATAGTTAAAGAGAGAGAGAGAGGAAGCTGACAATTATTTAGTTTTAGTTTTTTCTACTCGCCTTATGAGTCAATTGAGCTATTATCCAATCAAATTCGCACTCAAATAGGGCCAGCTGCTATCTGAATTGAACATGTAACGAAGTCAATTAAGAAGACAAAAACAGAAGTGCAAAGCGAGAAAGAGAATGTGGCATATATTGGCATTCACTTAACCCTAGAAAGCACTATGAAAAAAGTTCGGGTGGAAAACATAAGGAAATAATTCTTTGGTTTACTGTTAGTAATAAAATGATAACATAAAACAATAACATAAAAACTAATATAAAAAATAACATAATTGAACAAAATAAAAATTTTAATATAAAAACTGATCAATAAAAAAATATAAAATCACTATTAGGATAGAGAAATTATAAGATAAAAAATAACTTTAATAGTGTGAAAAAGATTATAAAGCTTTTTAGAATTTCGATATATAGCCTGCTTTAACTCTTAAATTTAAGGATAATTGTCTGGCTTTATTATGTCAATAATTAGCTGAGATAAATTATAATTTTATATAATTTCTTTTTATTTATACTTTTTGTGGTTCTTCGATTTGAATGTATATTCTGAATATAGCTCAGGCTATAAGCTCATATAGCCAAAGCTGATTAATTGAGCTATAAACAATGTATTCTGTTGACTTTGAATGCAATCAAAAGTTTAATAAATATTTACTTTGATAAGCTTAAACACAAGCATTTTCTCAGCTCTCGAATTACTCAGTTAATTTTAATTTATTTTATTTTTTTCTCAATACAAATTCTAGTATTTTCTATAAATACTCAAACAGTTCGAAGAGTTCATAAAAGTTGACTCGTTGAGTTCATAAACCAATAGAGATTAAATATTTTTCTTCTATCAATTGGGCCACATTAAACACGAAAAATTGGCCATTTGAAAGTTTTGATTACTCTTTTATGTTTTGTTATCTGTAACTATCCAGAAGTGTGTAGAATCTAATCGTAAAATAGCTTTTTGTGGATCAGTCAGAGGCCAAGCTACCAATAAAGAGAGACATACCTTATCGCGCTTATCTGTCAGCTGAGTGTGGTTACTAACCTGTTGCTGGATTGGTAGTAGAGGAACAATAAAGTTATATTAAATATAAATAAATGTATGTGTGTCTGGCTATGTGTGTATTGGTCTATGTATGTATATGGTTCAGTGATTATCAACAATGTCAATGATTGGCAATTATTTTGAAACTTCATTCTCAGTTCACATTTCAAACGGTTAGCAGTCGATCGTAGACAATAGATGGGGAAATTAACAGAGCCCTATGTTGTGTGGTAAAATCTATATCTATATATGTGTCGAAATATATGTATAAGGTGTGCAGTGGAAGCTTTTGCAACTAAACAACTTTATTTTCAAAACAATAAAAATACCATTAAAATTAATCAATATCAGGAATAATACTAATATTATTTATAGCAAAAATTATAACAATAATAGTGAAATATAATGGATAATAATATTAAAACTAGAACAAAGAGCTTTTATAGCAATGTATATAGACAATAAAAAAAGAAAGATCAAGAAGAGAAAGAGAGAGAGAATGGGAGAATGAGAGAATGAGAATGTAGAAGTACTCTTGATATACATCTTATGAGAATTGCAGTTTATAGAGAGTACTGTTTATATATGTACATCAATCGACAGAGAAGGAGAAGAGACATTTATATATACATATATATAGAAGAAACAGAATGTGAGAACGGGTAGAAACATCTCTAAATAAGAGGGCCTAGCTTCTTATGTCCTTTACATATGAATATATGAAGGCAGGGAGCGAGAGAGAGAGACAAATAGATATTTCTCGTATACATCTTAATATATACATATATACAGAGCGAGATAGGCATAAAGAGGTAGAAAAAGAGCGATAACCAGAGCGAGATAGAGGTAGACACGGAGAAAGAGACTGATAGATAGGTACATAGATAGATATATCCTGGGAATCCTGGGAAGAGAGAGACTAGAGAAAAGTAGACAGATTCAGATGAGCGCTTACTGAAAGCTTACTGAGAGATAGAGATAGAGAGAGAGGAACGTAGAATGATAGGCAAAGACAGAAAGATATAGGTATCTCTCCTGGGAGAGAGAATACTGAGAGAGGAAAGTAGAGTGATTCATATGTGAGTAGACTGAGAGAGAGCGAGGAGGATACGGATGATTTTCCTTTCTCCTACTCCTCTCAAAGGACTGACTGAAGAGTAGTGTGAAAGAAAGAGAAGAAGAGAAAAGAGAGCATGTTTTTTTTTATCAATTTTTGGTTTGTTTTGTTTTGGTTTGTACTCCTTGGCATTTCTTAGCTTTTATTTCCATATGAAATTTTATTGTAGGACTAAAGATATTGATATAAACGCAACGACAACAGCACTAGCAGCAACTGCTGCTGCAGCAACAGCAACAACAACTGCAGCAACTGTGGCTGCAACTGCAGCTGCTGTAAGCAGCGCAGAGGCTGCTCATGCCACAAACATGATTTGTGATGCACAACAAGACCATCAACAACAGCAACAACCGCAGCAACAGCAGCAGCTGCCGCAACAACAACAGCTGCAATCAGTGGAACAGCAGCAGCAGTCACAGCAGCAACTGGAAGCTGAACAGGATGATAAATATATACAAAGTAGCAATCACGCTGAGAGGTAGGTCAACTTTGAATCGAAATCAAGACTCGAGACACCTCAATAACTGGGCAAATGTTAAGTATAAGCCGCTTTCTATTTGACTATCCATACGAAATTTGCATGCATTTGTAGTAAAAGCTCTGCACCATGAACATACATATATATAGCATATATATAGATCAGATCTCTGCTGTAGACGGCTACTAAATATATTGCTTTGTTTTAGGCGAGATTCGATTGGCGATGACAACATCACAACTGCAACAAACAGCGTCAACGGCAGCCAGCTAAGCAGCAAACTCTTGACCATTCAAGAAGCGGCCGGCACTCTAGAGCGCAGCAGCAGCGTTACCTTAGCCACAGCTTTGTCTTCAGCACAGGCCACTTCCGTCTCTGTAGCCTCTGTCGCCTGTCATGAGACGCAGCTCAGCTGCAGCAACAGCAACAACAGCAACAACAGCAACAGCAACAGCAATAGTAGCAGCAACAACAACAGCAACAGCAGTAACCATCAGAACGTAGCACCTTCCAGCCCACAGGCCAATAATACGCCCAGTATTAGCATAAGCCAAGCGGAACCAAAGGAGCAACAGCAGCAGCAATCGTCGCTCTCGCAGAGCCTCGAGACTAACGGCCAGCAGGGTGGCTCCTGCACAGATAGTCCGAGCAGCCGCAAGAGCTCCACCAGCTCCAAGGGCAAGTCGGCCAAGTTATCCACATCGAGCAGTGGACGTGATGAGGTGAGTGTTAGTACGAGGTAAAACTATGTTGAGGAGGTAGTAGAAGTCCGTGAACTAGTTCACCTACACTAGTTCCCCTGCAGCGTGTAGTTGCCTGTCGAACGGGAATGAATGGACATCGAACCCTTAAGTTTGGCAGCTCAATATGGATTGACACTTCACACTAGTTAGTTCTGAGCTAGTTCTCTTGTAACAATTCGATATTTAATAATAATGTAGACACTTCTTTAGAATTGAACTTTTTATAAATAGCTTCTGAACTTAGAGACAATTGTATTCTATAAGCTTTGAGTTGTAAGCCAGATTTGTTAATTTTTGAACTAGTTCGTTTGAGTTAGCTAACTTACCTTTGTCGTCGAGCGAACTTTTTATCTAGGTTAGTTATATTTGTCGATACTATATAGTTGGCGGAACTAGTTCACGGAACAAATATTTTAGTTTGAGTTGAGTTCAATCTGTGGGCTTTTCAGCATCAGCTGTTCCTTTATTCTATTTGGGAGATTAGTATAGCAAAGAACTAGTTCTTTTCTGTGATTGACATCAACATCTTCATCAAAAATATATATTTTAATAACTTTTTACCTGCTTCATCTAGTTGCAAACTATTTCGTATTATTGTCAAATGTCAAAGTTTTCTCTTTAGTTTCGCTCTTTCCCATTAGAATGCTTGCTCGACTCTCTTAACTTGATAATTGCTTTGCTATCACTGTCGCTGGGAAAGAAAGCTCGCGAGCTTTAATTACTAATGGGCTCTACTCATTAGCACATCGCACGATATATTAAACAGATGCTAGACAAGAGCAGATAATGTATTGGACTTTAGATAACGAATATCGAGCGACAGATATGAAGTGGATTATTTGGAAAAAACAGTTTATTAGCCTTATCGATTCAGTTATACAGCATGCTACACGTTTTCAACTAGTTCACAAAGTTTGCCCAGCGAACAGGCGAAACTGATTACCGAAATACCCTTTAATATATACTATATTCGGATTTGATACCCTGTAAATAAGTGTTGAATTAGGAATATGTTTTAGATAGATGATCAAATGAGCGATATCATATAATATTACAAACCATTAAGTTTCAGCTCTTAGAAGTTAAAAATATTTAAATATAATGTATTGAACTCTGTAGGGCTTGGTATAGTTAGAGCCAGGTATGCCAAGGTAACTTAGGAAACTCTAGCTAGAACTATCGAACCAGCTCAAGCAGTTGTTAATGTCAATCTATCATCTACATAGTTGAAAGATCTCCCACTTCATATAGGTATGCTTAGCCTTATATGCCAGATCAATTCGGACACTCTAGCTATACCTTAACAATCAAACCAACTCAGACAGCTGCTAGATTCAATCTATCTACAGTTGATAGACCCCCAAGTTATACCCCTTTCGGGCTACAGAGTATTCGGTATACGAAAAGCTTTTAACGGCACCCTAAAAATTGATTTGGCCCGAAGCTTTGCCTCATTGATGATAACGCGATTGATATTGGAACGGAACGTGTTTGGCTCTCAGCAAATTAGAATTCAATGCGCGGCGCAAGACGACGCAGTGCGTCGAATTTGGTGCGGATCGATCGCGTTTGATTATACAACATCAACACACACACAGCACAGCACAGCACAGCACAGCAAAGCACAGTGTACAAAGCAACACTAATAAAAAGAATTAATAAACCAACAAAAAAACGTTACTGTGTAAACTGTGATAAGCGTGTGAAACACTTGCTTCCCCGAAACATTAATGATTCAGACTCTTAGTTGTATGTATGACTAAGAAGTGGCAATAGCAAAAGTTTTTATATCGAATATATGTATCTATTTTGCAGGATGCACAGAGTAAACTAAGCGAATCGAATAGCACAGAAGGCGTTATACTACGTGGAGATCCCACAGCGACCGATAAGCCCAACAAGGGCACTTCACGACTCTCCGAACGGGCCAAGAAGAAGTCCTGGTATAACGTCATCTATCCCAATTACAAGTCTCGTGCCGAGGACTTCAAGAAACTCTTCAAAGAGGTGCCCAACGATGAGCGTCTAATTGTGGGTAAGTCTAACATTGGTATGATATCATTTTTTGTGTATGCCCGATATCATATTCGAAAGGCACTAAGTCCAATGGGAAGTTACTTGTGAAACGGTATAGAACAGGCACAAGGAGGCATGGCAGACGAGGGACGAAGAACTGAGTTCTTTTATCCATGTCCGTCTATTCGTTCTCATAGTTCCGGGTGTCTACTAGTCAGGCACTTTCGATTAGGGCAGCCTTAATTGTTTCATCTTAACGGACGTCAATGTCAATTCAGAGTTCTTCAGTGGAATATGGGTATATTTCGCATTTCTGACAAATCTCTTTCATTACCCACCTAGGAGTATTTTTTTACCATGCCTATTTATCAAACATGATTTTTATGGCGTGCTTATTTGAACACCTGCTGTGCTTTATAGCTAGCCTTTTTTTATTTAGTTCATGCGAGATAACGGATCTGTACGACTATTATTATCGAGCCATTTTGCAACTCAAGTGCTTCCGTGTGCTGTTTTCCGATGAGCGCCACGCATAAGTTCAATTTAATTTAATTTAAGTTGGTATATTACTTAAACTGCCAATTGTAATCGCACCTGTTCATAATCTGATAAAATATAAGTGTATAATCACTGAGACTTCATTCTGCTCAGCGTAAACAGAGTTGAGCCTAGAAGCTTGAGATAATCTTATTCCATTTCTTCTTAAGGACTATGAGACGGCAATAAACAGTGCTCTAAGCGGCAGTGCCTGACTAGTTTATACCCTGAACCCAACGCAGAGCTGCTGGAAACAGTGTAATCTTCATAACAAAGAGAGGGACATGGCTAGGCTTATGGGCTTGCCGCGCCTCCTTCTGCCTGATACGCACATGAAGGCTCATAGCAAACACTGATCAAATGTGATCACAGCTTTCAATCAACGCTAATCTAATCACATCCTTTTGCTTGCAGACTATTCGTGTGCGCTGCAGCGTGATATATTGGTGCAGGGCCGTCTGTATGTGTCGCAGAATTACGTTTGCTTCCACGCGAATATCTTCAGCTGGGAGACATATGTGAGCATCAAATGGAAGGATGTGACGGCCATAACAAAGGAGAAAACAGCGCTGGTTATACCGAATGCAATAACGATATCCACCGCCAAGGAGAAATTCTTTTTTGCGACATTCGCATCGCGTGACAAGTCGTATTTGATGCTCTTTCGCGTCTGGCAAAATACGTTGTTGAACAAGCAATTCTCCCCACAAGAAATCTGGCGTTACGTACACAATTCGTATGGCGAGGAACTGGGTCTGACCACAGACGATGAAGACTATATAGATCCCACTTTGGATGCGGATACGGAAACCGATGTAGATTTCCAAACGGCCATCGACGATCTGGGCGGCGATCAAAGTTTGTGCAGCCAAAGCACCAACAATTCGGGACAGTTGCAGCAGCAGCAGAGCGGCAACAGCAGCGCAAGCAGCGGCGGCGGCAGTGCTGCAGTGCGCAAATCGAAGACGAAATATTTCTTCAATACGAGCAAATCGTCAAATCTGAATTCATCGGCCAACGCATCGGCCAGCGGCTCGGATAATAAGGCAAGCGACAATACACGCAAATCCAACAAGAAAATGAAGGCGAATGCCAAAGAGCTGATACTCAGCTCCGTCAAGACCACGGAGCAATTGCCGGCTTTAACCATCAATGTGCCCAGTGGCAACAGCAGCAGCAATAGCAACAGCTACAGCCACGGGCACACCCACAGCCACAGCCAGAGCAACAACACCATCACAACAACAGCCACCGCAACTATCACAGCAGCCACAACAACAACAACAGCAAACATCACAGCCAGTGGCTCAGCGAAAGCTGAGAAGCTCAGCAACAATGCGACTTTGGCAACTGCTCCCGAACTCCAGTCACATGGCTCGGATGCCAAGCGCAAGATGCAAATGAAAAATCAGCGGCAACGCGATGTTGAGCTGGCGGTCAAAAATAACGAGGCGGGACCCACAGATATGTCCGACTCCTCCGATTCCGAAGCGAACAATGCGCCGTAAGTAAAGAAGCATCAGAATTCTGTAAATATATTAAATATTTTCCATTTGCAGCTTTGTGCCCAGCACGGAGTGCACGTCGACGCACGAGGGTCGCCAAATTGTGCACACAATATTGCCCATTCGAGTGGATACCCTGTTCAATTTCCTGTTCTCAAAATCCAAATTCCTAACGGACTTCCATGAGCAGCGCAAGTCGACAGATCTGTCATTGGGCGAATGGCATAAGAATGACGAGGGCCAGAACGTGCGGCTGGTCAATGTGACTGTGCAATTGGCTGCTTCAGTGGGCCCCAAGACTTCGAAGGTGGGCAGAAGTAGCTGAGAGTCATGTAGTGAAAGGGCGAATAACTAGAAAAGACGAAGGAATGGACTGACGCGTAGACAGTTAGTCAGACATGGCTTCATCAATTTAATTTTCCGTCTTGTTAAGGAAAACTAATTTTGTGCATGATATGGAAGCGTACAGAAAAATATAAATTAAGAAATAGATAGACTGACGGTTGAACTGATTTCCATTTCCCAATAATTAAAATGGATTTACTTTGCTTGCAGGTCACGGAATATCAAACGATGCGCGAGTGCAGCAAACCGGGTGAGCTCTACTCGATAGACGTGAACAGTGTGAATGCGGGTATACCCTATGCGGATAGTTTCAGTGTATTGATACACTTTTGTCTGGCGCGGTAAGCGAATTGGGTGTATTAAATCGTTCTATAACTAAATGAACTCTTCTTTAGCACTGTGGACGATCATACGATGTTGTCGGTGCACGCACAGATCAAATATAAGAAATCCATTTGGGGCGTGGTCAAGGGCTTCATCGAGAAGAATACGTGGGCGGGTCTGGAGGATTTCTTCGGAGCGCAGCTGCATGCGCTGCAGAGCGAGACGTGCATACCGCCTGCCAAGGGCAAGGGACGGCGACCCAGACGTGGTAAGCATTTAGATATAAGCATAAGCAACAACGACAACAACAAGAACAACATGAATAGTAGCAACAACAATAGCAACAAACAAAACACGCAGTGCAATAAAAACAAATCCAGTACAAATACAAATACACTGTCAATGCCCAAATGCCATTGCTATTGCTTCTTCTAACCACACAAAATGCACGCACAACAACAACAACCAACAACAACTAGAACAATTAGCTGCAAACTAGCTACAACAACAACACAAAGGCATATTGGTTACAGCAACAACAGCAACAGCTAGCAGCACGGACTATGACAAGCAACAACATCCGCAGCATCATCATCATCATCATCACCAACATCCTCATCACCATCATCATCATCATCATCATCATCATTCGCATCATCGTCATCACCATCATTCACATCATCGTCCGCATCATCTACAGCATCAGCAACAGTTGCCGCCGTCGCCTCAACAACATTTGCAAATCCATCCGCAGCAACAAATTCATCGTAAGGCCAAATTGCTCTCATGTTCAGGTATATAGCGTATCTACAACGCTAAGCAACCCCTTCTCAGCACAAGCGATTGTCCCAGGCACATGCTGTAGATATATCATAAATTGAATGGTAGCTAAGAGATAGGAGCAACTGTTGCACCTAAGCAAATATATATATATATTTTATAGAACTTGTAACTTACGGAATGTAAAGAGCTGTTAAGTATATCTAAAGTGATTCCATGTAAAAACTTTGATAGTCCACAAAGCTTTATTACACTGTCAACAGCTGTAAAATGTACCTAAAGTGGTTTGCTGTAAGATCTCTGTTTACTTTCCAGATAGAGCGAACAAGTTAACAAACTATCAAAATAGAACTAAGAATAGCTTAATTATATTTCTATTGCAAGGCTTCTGAACTTTTTTCATAAATTAGAGAATCCTCCAACTTATTTCAAATTCACACAACTTAAACATCCTTGAGCTGAAATTGCTTTCATGGATCATGTTAATTTAAAAGAAACTTAGGACTTTGTATTCGAACTAACCTGTGCCAATCGCTTAGTCCCAGAGTTTTGCTTGTTGCTGTGTTTTTGTATTATTTCGATGTTTTATTACCATAATTACTTAGCTGTATGCGTAAGCGATTTGCATGTATTTAACACCCACGTTTTGTTGCATTCGATGTTGTGTTTTTGTTGCTGTAGTTGCTTAGACACCTGTTGACACCTGTTTGCAGCTAACTATAATTACGATTATCCATTTTTGCTGTTTAGGTACTTCGACACAGTCAAGGGGCGTCACGGAGGAGTCAAATAGCGGCGGCACCTCACAGAGTTGCCTGCCCGAATCGTTGGACAATTGGGATTCAAAGTTGTTGCCAGCTGGCGCAGCTGGTGGACTGGCACATGGAACTGCTGCTGGCAGTGGTGGCGGCAAACAACAATTGACTGCTCAGCAACAGCAGCAGCAACAGTTGCTGGCTGGCGGTCTGCAGTTGGGCGCGGGCCAAGATAGATTCCGGCATCGCGGCTTGTCGTTCTTCGTTATATTGTTAATGTGCTTGCTGCTGGCATTAAATGTGATATTATTACTTAAGCTCTGGAAGCTGGAAGAACACATTGACCTCGATCTCAGCCGGCGTGCGCGCATGCCCACCTTAGCGGCACTCAAGTACGAATACATCCTCCATTCATATATCTAATACAGAACAGAAACTATTTATAAACGTATTTTGTGTTTTTAGGGAGTTACCAAGTTCGAATCAAGATTGGCTGGAACTAATGCGTCAGCAGGAGCTGTCGCACGAATCGGAGCTACGCAAATGGCATCAGGTGCTACACACGGCCATCGAGCTGCTGAAAAAGGTGAGCATCGTTTGCGATAAGATCTACAACGATGCCGAACTACGTCAGAGCATTGAGTCTTTGCACACGGAATTATAAGCAAAACAGCATTGAATACTCATTGACTCCGAATTCAATGCGATTCATATTCATCAAATGTAATCGTGCTTAATCAGCAAACAGAGAAAATCATTGCATATTCCATAGTTTTAGATCTGATATTTATACGAAAGACGAACCCGAAAACCGAAAGCTTGCCTTAAGGCTTTATAGTTATTTCAGCTGCAAATATTTAAGCCTTAGCTAAATTATTTATTTTTTATTCAATATTTATTTTTTATTCACAGAAAATATATTTTTGTTTTTAGGATATTTATTTTTTATTGGAAATAAGGCTTATATAAATTAATATTTATTTTATTATTTACTGAAAGCTTTTTATGTTACTCTTAAAACAATTTTTGAAAAGGCTTCCTAAAATACTTAGAATAAGTCGTAACATTAAATTCTTTGCTAAGTTTCCTATTTTAATTTAATTTATGATTTATCAAATTATTTTTCTAATTTCCTTTACTTTTTCGTTCGTTTCAGACTGAAAAGACTTTGGCTGAAGTCATGATACCCTAGCAGTCCTTTCAGCACAACATAAACCCCCAATCACAAATCCCGTTACAAAGTGCACCACACAGAAATTGAAGTTAAAGGAAAAATAGTTCTCTAGTTAAGGCATTCGCTCAGTTCCTTTGTGGTACTGAAAGAGTTGAGAAGAAGAGTTACGCCACCAAATAATTGAAATTCAATTTCAAAAACTTTAGTCACAAAATGTTAAAAGAGCTAGAGCAAAATAGTTGTGTTATTGTGTTAAGACTTTTAGTTTCGTCCCTCAGTTAAGCTCCTTATAGATATATACATGTATTTAAAATTTAATGAATTTAAATTTAGCATATTATTATTAAGTTTAATTCGTAAATTCGTCTTTAGTCTGCTGCATTTATGTTTAAGTCAATGTTGGGCAAATGCTTTAAAAAAAATTAATACAAGTTCTCAAAAGTATTTCAATACACGCAACACACAGACAACACTCACACACATACCAGCAACAAAGAAGATTAAAAAACACTATGAGCGCCTTGGATTTTTGTTTTAAAAAATTCATTTCCATGTCTGATAAGCGCAAAAAATCGAAATTATTTTGTAATTTTGATAAAAAGAATTATACCAGATTAAAAACAAAGAATACAATATTATATTAAAGTAAAAGTAAACAAATATTTCTGTACAATATTTTTGTAAAAACCGCAAACTTTTTTATGATCTATAAAAATGTATCTTCGATTTGTTTTTCATGATTTTTGGAACACCTCTTAAATCGTTGTTTTTACAGTCGAAACAGAAAATGCTATGCGTAATGGATGGCTTATCCAATATATACTATATATGTGTATGAAAATATATATATTTAAATACGAGTACTACATATAGATCCAAGTATTCTTAGATTGTAGCTGTTGCATTTTAATGTCGAGTTGTATGTGAAAATGTTAAGGAATAAGTTTAGTGCTAGGCCGTTTCCATCGCATGTTTGGCGGGAATCCTACTTATAGAGTGTATAACAATCCACACAAGTGAAAAGAAAAAACCAAGCTTCAAGTTATTTAAATGCAAATTGGTTAAAAAAACAAGAGGAAAATGTTAAGTTGCTAAATGAAATTTTAATTTATTATAAAATACAAAATAAAATAAAATAAAAATGACTATATAAAAGAATGATGACCCTATATATTTACTTCGTAATGGAAATTGAAATAAGTTTTACTTTAATTACAATTAATCGATAATTATCCATTTTGAGAAAGTTTTCTTTTATATTTTAGAGCAGGTCTCACGCTTTAGCTTCTTTATTGATCATAATAAATTTATAATATACTATATTTCATATCGATATATGTTGTGCTATCGATAATTTTACACATCTCAATCTACACCAACTCTACTTCACTCTGTAAATAACTCGATAAAGCTTTGTGTTATCGATCAAATTAGAGGGAATCAAATTAAAGGGAACTTCTCATAGCTACTCTTCAATCAAAGCATTTAGTATGTTATTAATGTGTTTGCTACCCTGTGCATGTAAAACTGTTATGGAATAACGACTGATGTCCATGGAAATCGAAATCGTTCGTATAACGTATATCAAGCTGTTATTCGTACAGTGAATGTCAAACCCAACCAACCACAGTTGTACGGTCACTGTATCACTGCTATGGATTCTTTGTACGATTTGATTCGATTTAATTTAAATTTTTATTCAATTCTCATACCTTTCACTCAAAAGACCAAAGAGAAAATGATTTTACAGCGCCAGTCCACGTGTTAACCAACAGGCTCGACAGTTTGAAAAGCGCTGCAAATGGAAAACCCATTGATTGCCAAATGGAAGCGCGCTCCAAAATACAATACAAAAAGAACTCTGGACGACATCAACACTAGCAATTTGAAGATGAAATATGTAAATACATACAGCTATATATGTGTGCATAGTGTAGACATATATAAATATATAGAGCCTAGAGGCGATGTCGTGTGGCTTTCTCAACACTGGCCTCCTTTACCGTCACTGAAATCTTGGATATACGTGTCCTTACACGATGTTTTTGTTGCGCCGAATCTGCATTCTTTAGTCGACGTTGTTGCTGCTTCTGCAGTTGCTGCTGCTGATGCAGCTCCAGCTGCTCCAGCTGCTGCTGCTGATGCTGCTGCTGCTGCTGTAGCTGCTTCAGTTCGCTATTGACCTTTAACTTATCTCGCTTAATTTGGGGTTTGAGCTGCCGATTGGTGTGTCGCGGTGAGAGCACTAGCCTGTTCCGGGATTTACTAAACTCTCCGCTGCCATGCGACGATTTCATAGCTTTGACGTTCTTGGAACGTTTCTTGCTCAACGAACTCGTCGGCTTGTCCGAAGCAGACGTAGCGACAGCTGCACCTACCATCTGCTTGCGGTTCAAGCCACTCATCTTGGCCACCAGGTGGTTGAGCACCTCCTTTTTAATCGGCGGCTGCAGCAGAACACCCGATTGCTTCTTGGTCAGGTGTGTTGCTGTCACATTTGTGGACATTTTGCAGCTAGACATGTTGTCCATGGTACTGCGTGGCCGAGTCAAGCGCAATCTGGTCTTCTTGTCCATACTCGATTGCGACGTTGTGTGTGACTGCAGCTGTGCGGCACAGGACAGGCGTATATCTCTGGCAGGGCGATTGAGTAGTGAGTCCTTTTGGCCCTGAAGGTCCTCTCGGCGCTGCTGTCTGTAGCGCTTCATCAGCATATCATATATGGATACGATTGGCTCGTCCATCTTCTGGACGGCCAGTGAGCAATTTGTGTAAGAAAAATGGGAACTCGAAATATTCCAACAGTCTATGCGATTGCTGTTTTGTTTTTAAATGAGATGTGTTTATACTGTGCACTGAAAAAAATAATAGGCACTTACACACAATTACACGAACAGCTAAGGCAAAGGTAAGACGACTTTTGAAAAATGTATTCAAAATATACCTTAAATATATTCATGGTAAACACCCAAGCAAGCTTTGCCCGCTTCAAATTCAGAAATCAATTTCTCAATTTTATTTACAACACACATACATGCACATATATGCGTTAGCATATTTTACTTCCTGTTTTAAAAATCGTTGCATACTTTGAGGCGACGCAAGAAAATAAATGAATTATTTCTGACACAAACAAAAGGTTTAATAAATGTAATAAATAAACGAAAATAATAATTAATTATTCTTAAAATGTGTCACAAAAAAATTAATTAAACAATAAAATATATATAATAAATTTCAACTAACGCTCACAAAACCAACAATTTTAAGAATTTGGTACTAAATATGTATTAAAAAATATACTAAAATGAGTAAAATTTACGCTTAATAGTCAAAAATAAAAGACAATATATTTAAAAAATTTTTAATACGAAAATAGAATGTTGTAAATATATTTAAAAACGAACTAAAACTAAAATCATTTAACTAAGCTTAAGCTAACGCTTAAGGAATCTAAAAAATAACGTTCATAAAGTATAATCAAAAATCTAACTGTAAATACAAATATTCGTAGGTAATATCGTATTCAGCAAAGTTTTCATTTTCCTGAAGTGCTGATCCCGTATCGTACAAGTTGTTGACCCCAAATGCTCAAGCAATATATAGGTTAAGTTCAAGGTCCCGCGACACAATCTCGCAAGCTCTTTGTGTCACAATTTTTAGGCAACGATTATGGCAAGAAATAAAGCAAACGCTATATAGAACCATTTGTGAATCACACCTTAACTGTACATTACAGCGAGTCAAGTAAATAAAACAATGAAATAAAAATAAAAATAAGGAGAAATTCGACTGATAAGAGTTCATTAAACGTTAATAATAATACAAAATAAGTTCGTAGATTGCTGGCAAAAAAGTTATTTGGGGGAAAAATTTTGAAAATCATAAAAACAAGACAATTTGCAAGATATAACGCATAATAAAACTATAGAAAAAGTTCAGCAAAGTGCGCAAAAAATATTAAATAGATGTGCGTGAGTGTGTATGTGTGTATATGCAAGTATGTGTGCGGGCAATGAACGCACCAAAAAAAATTAAGAAAGAAAAGAAAGCAAAAACAAAAATGTTATCAGCGCAACCGAAAAGAGCTGTACAGCAAATACACACACATACGTACACAAATACGCATGCACGCAGAAACTTACACACACATGCGCATAAGCAAACGCCAAGCTGCGTGCGTTCAGTTTTCAAGGTTAAGAGCAAGTGCGTATGCGTGTGTGGTTGTGCGTGTGAGTGTCACTACCAGCGAGACACGAGAAGCAGAAACGAAAGAAGCAGAGGAAGAACAGCAACAACGACTGTAGCCGCACGCACAAATGGCCGCGCACATAATTAGAACGAAAAATAAGAAATAAGAAAACAAAAAAAGCAATATGTGTGTGTATAGCAAATGTTTATGGCACATGCCATAAAATAAAATAGCGCACTTTTTGCGCTCGATATGCGCACATATATCAAATAGAAGAATCATCATGATTAAAGCGGATCTGTGCTAGGCCTATTAGCTTTATCTGCTGGCCACATGTGCGCAATTTTTTGGAGATATATATTTTTTTATGGGCTTTCACGCACTGAGAGCTGCAAAACAGCTGACACATTTTATAGGCGTCTAGTTTTTTTGGCTTTAGCCTATACCGCTTCCTGGTTATGCGGCTCACACACACACACATACACGAGTACGCACGCATTGCGTATACGCTGCGCTCTCTTTAGCTGTTGTTGTTGTTGCCGCTGTTGCTGTTCTCTAATGTCAAGTTTAATGACTGATAAGGTTTAACAACCGTCAAATGAACTCAAAGCTCAGATATTTGTGGCCTAATGGCATAATGTTCTGCCTTTGTTTAAGAAAAAAATTATTTTATTATAATTCGCTAACTTCTGGAATTTGACAACGCCTGCCGGAAATGTTATAATAATAATTCTATAAAAAAAAAATCAAAACGTAACCAAACTTAAAAACGTGTCAGCCCGCAAGCCACAAGCTACACTGAAAAATAAATTAAATATATTACCAATTATAAATTTTTAAATAAGCTCGAAAAATTTCTTTATATTTCAGGTCTCATAGTATATGACAAATCGTTAACAGCCTAGTTTTCTCATAATTTAAACACTTTTAACATTTCTTTCGCTCAGTGTAATCTTAAGCATAATTTCTATCACCAAGTCAACTTTTTGACTAGACAGTTAAATTGTTTTTGTTTTATTGTTCTTTTTTTGGTTTTCTTAGTTAAGCCTCATAAAAGCTTTTGTTGCTTTAATCGGTTAAGAGTTTACGAGCTACACGGCTACGCTATCAATAGTTGATTACAGAGCGCGTTAGCAACTGCCCCCTTACATTACATTGTATACATCTAAAGAGCATCACTCTTTAGCCGCTTGTAAGCTTACAACAAAGAGAGAGAGGCAGAGAGAGAGAGCGTGACACACGCACGTGCAATTGGCTGAAGACGCAGCAGAAGCAGCGCAGGCCGCTTTGGAACCGAAAGAGAGAGAACGGCGCTGTTAAAATTGTCATTCATGCACGGGCGCGCGCTCTCACTGGCGCTGACTGCGACGCTTAATAGCAGCAGCAACGGCAGCAGCCGACTCAGTCGAAACAGCGTTTAACGGTGATCAGTATGAGATCGGAATCGGCCGCAGTTGGTTGTACGTAATGCGCGTCAAGTTGCTTGTTGTCGTTGTCGTTGTCGTAGTCGCCGTTCAGCTTTCAATTCCAATTCAGTTAGTCAATCGCCGCCGCCGCTGCAGCAGCAGCAGTTACAACAACATGCACTACTAAATAACAAAAAAAAGTATTTTTACATCTTTTCGTTACGTTTCGTTTCGTTTCTCGGTTTCGCGTGTTCTGTGTGTGTTCCAGTGCGTTGTTGCTAAGAGCAGCCCAAAATGTTTCCAAATCAAACAAATGCAACAAGTAAATAAAAAGAAGTGAGATAAAAAAGTCCTCTCGCAACGTGCTTGCTGTGTATGCGCGCGCGTGTTCTGAGTGTATATATATATAGATGTCAGTGTGTTCGTAAAGCGCAGCTGATTTTTAAATACGAAATTTTTAATAACGCTCAACTCGTTCCAACTGTCCCGCCCCCTGCGAAAACGCCTACACAAAAAGCAACTTGCCTGCAATTCTACAACGTACGAGATTTGGCGTCAATTCGCCTCGCCGTTTCGCCGTTTTTTGGGTGCGTGTTGTTGTTTTTCTGTGTTCTGTTCTCCCTTGTTGTTTTTGCTATGTTTACATTTTATTTCACACTCACATACACCTACACTTAGAATGTAAACTGACATTTCGCTCTGGCGCCTTGTTTCGCGCGGGCTTATTGACAAATTGTAACTAAAGTAAAGACCGAGACGCCGCCGCTGCCACTGCATCTCTGCACTCTCGGAATCTCTCTCTCTCTCTATCTCTCTCATTTCTTGCTGAAAGCTCTCTTAGACAACAATTATTTCATTTCATTTATTTGATTTTATTTTCTGCGATTTTCGCCCAAAAGTTTTTTGCCTGATTATTTTGCGAGTGCTAAAAATAAATATATTAACAATTGTGAACAAAGAACAAGCAACAAAAATTATTGAACGCAATTTTATAGACCTTTCCTTTACATATATCAATTTATTTATTTGTTTTCGGACACAAAGAGTTGTTTCTTATACAATTTTGTTAGCTGATGTCTGAAGAACAGCAAGCAACAAAAAGAGTGCGGAAATAAATAAAAAACAAACAAGAAAAGTAACTAAATAAATGTAAATAAGAATAAGAAAAAGAATATCTAAATTTTACCTTACAAAAAATTAAATATTTATAGATTTTTTAGCATAAGAAATAACATATATTACTTAAAGCAACCAATATTTTACAATTTTATTAAACCATTTTTTGCAAAATACAGTGAAGTCTCGCCAAAGCATATGCAGCTAGCAAACGGTTTAAAACTATTTTCTTATTTTCATCCATTGAAATCTTATAAATAATAGCTAAAAACAGAAGAAATTATTTTTTTTTATATTCAACTTATTCCTATTATTATTATCATTTACTAATAATAATCATACAATACAATATTATAATATAAGAAAATAAAAGCAAAGTACAAATTGTTTAATAATAAAATATTCCAAATCAATAGGGTTTTATCATTATATTTAATAAATTATTATGAATACTTTCTTTTTTTTTGGTAAAGTTAAATTAACTAATAACTTTTTCATATTATGCAACATGTTTTTAATAAACAGATGTTTAAATTTTTCAATACAAACCTAAAATATATATGCAAAAAGAATCCCAAGTAATCTTTTATGTTGGTATAAATAAGATAAAATATTTATAATAATATATATTAAATATAATACTCGAGAATAAAAAACTTTTGTTATTTTAAATAATAATTAACAAAAGTTAAAATTATTAAGTAACTTTCTTAAATTTATTTTTTTATATACTAATTATATATATATTTATTTTTTTTTATTATATTTTATATATATATATATTATTTTAATATATCTATATAATTTGTTTTTATAGCTTTTGTAATATTTATACATATTTTTTTACATTTCTTTTAATATATTTCTATATTTCTTTTTAAGCTTCAGAAATGGCTTTTTTAATCAAGAAAAAACTTCATTTTCATATTTCTCAATTTATTATAATCTTTTTTCATTTCTTCTTCTTCGTCTTTTTACAGCACGCAAATTATGAAATGAATAAAAAAAAATATATTGAATAATCCGCGCGAAATATGTTGAATGCGTAAAACGTGTTTTCGAAAACAGTTTTACATTTACAAAATATACAAAAAATAAAAAAACCCCAACAAATTGAAGTCGTAATCAAAGAAACAGCAGCAGCAGCAGCAGCAACAACAACAACACCACAAAAAGGTGATAATGATTATTTCCAAGGATCTTTTCATATTTGGCGAACAAATTTTTGCAACAATTATACCAGAAGGTGGAGTCGCTCTTGCCACGCAGCAGCAGCAACAACAACAACAGGAGCAGCAACAGCAGCCGCCGCCGGCAATTATAAATACAACAACAACAGCAGCTGAACAAGTTGTTGAGGAGTCATTAAAAGCGGCAGCAGCAGCAACAGCAGCAACATTGCCAGCAACAGCAACAACAACAGCAGCAGCTACAGCAAAGCAACAACAACAACTGCCAACAACAACAACAACACCGCTGTTGCTATTGAACAAACCGGAAACGGTTGCAGTTGCTGCTGCTGCCAACAGCAACAGCAATAACAACAACAACAACAACAACAACAATAGTCTGCTGCGCGGCAACAACAAAATAAAAATTCAAAAAATTCCAACAGCAGCTGAAGCATTGAAAGCCAAGCAGAAGCCACCAACAGCAGCAGCAGCAACAACAACTCGATCGTTAACCAAGTGTGAGAAGGTGTTGCTGCCAATGAATTTGTTGGCCCAAAGCATGGACAACGCAACGGATGAAATGGAGCAGTTACCGTTGGTAGCCAGTCGACGCAATTTGGCCAAAATTGTGGCCGATTGTCGCCTGCAAATCGAACCAACTGTTGCAGCAGCAGCCTCCGCAGCAACGACAGCAGCAACAGCAACGACAGCAACTGTTGCAGTTGCAGCTAGCAGCAATTGCAATAGCTCATCCTCTGCCTCCTCGACCAGCTCCTCATCAACGACCTCAACGGATTTGCCCAGCACGGATAATCTGTCCAAGACTTGCATTTTAGCTGATGCCAAAAGGTAAGCTGACCCAATTTTTGTTACGTTAAGTCTACACAGTTAGACAGAGATAGCGTAAGCCGAGAAAGAGACAGTTAGAAGCACACAAGTCCAGTTGGGGTTCTGGCCAAAATGTAAACAGGCCATGAAATTGCAGTCGGCGTTTAATTTCACCTACAAAATTTGGGACACACGCACACACACGCACACGCACACGCACACACGCACAGCACAGCAACTTCTTAAGAATAACAGCAAAACTGCATAAAATATATGAAAAAAAATATAAAAAATAAAAATAAAAAAAAAGAAAAAGCAAAACAAGTCAGAACATTTGCGGTTGGGTGTTGACGACTGCGTCATATACTGCTTTGAGATTAAATATGCATATATGAATATATGAAATATGAAATTTATGATGTAAAAATATGAGATCTAGATGGAAAAGAATTGAAGAAGAAATGTATATAAAATTTATAATAATAATACAATAATAATGCAACATAATATATATGAATGTATGTAGCAGGCAATAAGAGGCGTGGCAGACGTCAATATTCTAGATGTGAAGCCGATCAAGTCTGTCCGTATGAACAGGTGAGAGCAAGAGACTTGACTTTTTATAGTCTCCCCAAAGAACTGCGCCAAGTTTATTGCAAATAATCGATAAATTTTTCGTTCCAATGAAATCGATTTGAAACATTCTCGAACTTCCACTATTCAATAAATATTTGTAGCTAGATTCTCCAAATATTTGCACTTAGTTTCAATTGAATTTCGGCCAGAGCTTAGGGTATTTCATAGCTGTTCACTCCCGTCTATAGCGCAATTTGATTCGATTGTAAAAGTTGAACAGGATAGTTAGCTTAAAGTTTAGAGTTAATAGTAATAAGAAGCAAATGCATCAATACTCTCCTCTTCCTTATGCGTATAGTGTATTAAAAGTGAAGCTAAGAAATTCTGCGTAAGGAGCAGGTTTCTTCGTTAAACTGCGACTGAGCCAGCGACGGCGACGGCGACTGCGACTGCGACGAGTGCATTTTGTCGCCGCTGGGGGGATTATATCTGCGCACATATATATACTTATACATATATTAAGCTGCTCGGTATACATACTTATGGCAGTGACTGTGTCTGTGCTTTATATCATTTCGCTAGCAGCAGCTGCATCACAAAGGCCACAGTCAGCGGCCAGACTTCGGGTCTAAAAGTGAATAAAGCCAACACGAAATTCTTCTAGGAAAGCGAATTTTATAAAAATTTATAGTTTAGGGACAACATTCAACAGTTCTCCCTCTTTCAGCTTATGCGATATTCATAAACGTTTCACTGGCTTCATTTTGATACGTTATAAAATTTCGTAAACGTTTTACTGACTGCAATCGATTTGCCGCTTAGAAGCCTTAGCTTTTTTAAGAGCTTCATTCGTTTGCTTTTCATAAACATATTCAGAATTTCTCAAAAGTAAGCCAAGCACACGCAAGACCACACTCTGCCCCAAGCTTCCCTCTCGGAGTTGCAACTGCTCCAGATAGCATTCAACATCTTGTTGCAGTTTTTGGTGCCAATCTGAAGTTTTGTTTTCTTCTTTTTAGTTTTTTTTTTTTGGAGCCAGCTGCTAAACGAGCATCAGATTCATTCTTTCCCACTCTCTCCCTCTCTCTCTCTCTCTACCTCTCTCTTGCCCAACTAGCACAAAAAAAACTGGGTCAAGCAATTTTCTGGCAAAATTGCGACAACAGATGTACGAGATTTCCAAAAAATAAAACCAGAGTAAAAGAAACTGCAAAAGATACAAAAGAAGAAGAGGAAGCAGATGAAAAAGAGACTCAACTTCAAATAAAATCGCATTCAACAGTGCGCCACAAAAGTGCATGTACTCAAGTGCACTTTAAATCGCATAATAATTGAAAATATTTATGTTAAATGCACATAATGAAGTTGCACTCAGCACGCACACACACACACACACACACACATACCAACACACATACAGTGCATTGTTGTGGCTCACTGTAATTGAATTTAATTTAATTCCTGCAGCTAAATTGCAGCCAATCCACTGCTTGAGAGCTTAACTGAAACTTAAAGAAAATAAATATATATAAGTAAATCAAAATAAGAATAAAATATATAAAATGAATTGAGAAAATTAGTAAGTTGGGCTTGCTCAACTAAGAGAAACTTTAAAGCCACTTTTGAGTGTTCGTATTGAAAAGTGAAATATTTCTAAGATGAGAGAATTTCTTAATAATCAAAAGAAAGAAGAAGACCTATTGCTAAGAAGTCAGACTAAGCCAGCTTGTCCCAGGACAACCTCATTCCATTTAAGAAAATAGTCTCTTGCTATCTTTTGGCAGTCGAAATAATCTACCCGGCCTACGGCACTTTTCAAGGGGCATCAAAACGTTAACGCGGTCGCCTAATTGTGCGACTGCAATTCAAATTAACCGAAAAAATATGCACTTGAATCTAAGCTGAAGCCATTTATGAGTCGCAGTTAATGCATGTGTGTGTGTGCCTGTGTGTGTGGCTGGCTGTGTGTGTGTGTAAATGTGGTAATAGACGTCAGTCAGTCAGCCAGTTGGGCAGTTAGATTGTCAGTCAGCTGCCTCGCGGCTGCCAAGTGACAACGAATTAAAGAAGTAATTTTAGCTGCAATTGCAACAGCTCCAAAATAGAGAAAAAACAAATAGCAATGAATACACTGAGCGAAAAAGGTGAGTAAGTGCCAAATATGAACGCAATTTCTTGGGCAGAGCAGCAAATTTATATTTAATATATTTAATTTGCCAACAATTTTTACATAGAAACTAGCTGATTACACTAAGCGAAAAAACAACTAATCATTTGATATGCATTTATGTTTTTAGAATATTTGTATTTATTTAATAATATTTGCATTTTTAATTTTATTTTTAAAATTGATAAAGAGATTTACTCTAGAACTCAACTTTAAAGCTTTAAATTCTCTTTTAAAAGACTTAAAGCTAAATTAGGTATGAAAAAAATTAAACAGCATCAAATGAGTTTGCCACTCAAAGAATCCGCTAAAATCCAAAGCTTATGGCTACGCAAATAGAAAGCTCAAAGCTCGACTTGCCTGTCATATAGTAGCTTCAATGTGCTTAAATTGCAGTGTTTTTATAAACCTAACTGCAGTTAAAGCTTGAAGTTACAATGCTTTATTAATCCAGTCTTGTTTTTGGTGTGATAGCTCTGAAAAATTTTAAGTTATGCAATTTTAAGTGCTCAAAACTTGCTCCTTTTATGTGCTTTATTGTGTTTATATATAGCCGCGCTTTACTGTTGTCCATATAAATATATATTTTATAAGTCAATTTAAAGCAAACCAGCTGTATCTTGGATATGTTGCATATTTCTTAAGATTGATTAATTTTATTGTCCCAATCAATCAAATGAATCTTTGAAACCAGTTCTTTTTTGTTGCTCTCGGGCTGGTTTCTTGAACTAGTTCATTCTACTTTCAAAAGACTTAGCTGCTCGTCTTTGGCTATTTTTGGCTTAAAAGCTATGAATTTAAATTTACAATACAAATTTATTAATATTTATAAAATAAATATTTGATAGATATTTTTAGCCATCATATATTATTAAAGATATTAAAATGAAAATTCAAAATAATAAATATAAAATAACTAAAAAAAATTGCTAGCATATGAATATTAAAACGAATAAATATTATACATTTAAAAAACAAATTTTATATTAATCATAGAATAATATAAATAATATACAAAATGAATAAATAAAATTTTAATTTAAAATTAAATAAAAATTGTTTGATAAATTGAAAGAAAAAATATAAATAAAAAATTGTATAATAATAAATAATATTTATTTATAAATTTAAAGTTAAAATAAAAAAAAAATATTTTATTATTGTTGGCATAGTATTTTTTAATTTATTAAAAATATATTCATATATAGAAAGATTAGATTCATATCAGTTGCATAAATATGTATATAAATAAATATATTAATATAAATAAATTATGCGCATTAGCTGCAATTGCGTTCCGTTAACCATAAATGAACATAACTCAACTGCTTGAGCGTCAAATTAAAGCAAATCATATTTCAAAGAACTTTACTTGCACACACACACAAACACACACATTTGTTTATAGATCTTCTTGTTTTTTTAAAGCAAAAACAGAAACCAAAAAATGTTTTTATTTTACTTTTTTATGGCGATGCGATTTGTGCGTTTGGGTCGATTTGATTTCCATTTTCATCGATTTGGAACTCGAGCGGTTAATGCGCGATTAAAGTTTGTTGAACCCCAAGCAAATGAGAAGAATATGTATGTAGAATCTAAAGAAGAAGCAGAGGCAGAAGCAGAAGAGGCAAACGCATTCTTGCCACAGACAAACAAAACGCAAAACACAAACATTTCCATTTTGTGCCGCTCGCTGTTTTCTCTCATTTTATTTATTTATTTTTGTTTCATATTGAAGCACACACTATCGGCACATAGCCACGCCCACGCGCCCACACACACACAGCCTTTATAGAACGTCAGCGAACTGAAGTCGAAGTCAGCTATCGGATCGAATAGGATCGACTCCACCCCTAATGGGGCACAGCATTTGCCTAGCTAGCTAATATATATATATATATATATATATATATATATATATATATATATATATATATATAGATTTATATATTTATATAAATATATATATATATATATATATATATATATATATATATATATATATATATATATATATATGTGCCTGCAGCATGGAGCCTGAAAGCTCCAGGGGCAATTGCGCAAAATGTGTGTGCATCTATGATGTCCGACTCTAAGACACCCTCTATTGAGAACCAAATATGAAATTTGGAACTGTCGAATACCAGTTTAGAAAATCCTTTACTTAAGATCGATATTTATCGATAAATTAGCAAAAATAAAATAGTAAAAAAAGTAACTTGCAGCAGCTTTTGCTTTTTCTGTCTACATATTGTATTTCTCTTTTCAATATGGCTTATAAGAACTATGCCTTGATATTTATCGATAAGAAAGCTAGTGCACTTAACGAAAAGATAAATCAGTTCAGATTGTATTTTATTCCCTCTGTCTTCTTTCGCTCGTGATATCTAAAAACAGTTAGCTTGCTGTTTTTTCTTTCTGCTCAAATAATTTAAGTACAGAATCTGGTTATTGACCATTGATCACAATCGATAATTATCGATAAAGATAACTTGCACATATCTGATTTGAAACTTCTATCAATTGCATCTGCTATAAATTACAAATAATTTTTCCATCTGTAATATTTATATAGCTATATATGCATATATTAGTATTAATTATAATTCCTATATGACTGAAGCTTAGGACTGATCTAAAGCTCATTAAGAATGTTTTGAAATTTATATGGTAATTTGAGTAACCTGAGTTTCTTTAATGAACTTTTAGACGAAGCTTTAAGAATACTTTACGTTTTCTTCAAGTCCAATTTATGACTTCATTTATTTTTTAATTCATACAAAAATATTTTAATGTTTCGAGTTTCGAGCTAAGTTTTAACAAGTTTTTTAATATTTTCCTGTCAGCTTCAAAACAAAGCTTGTAAAATGCTCTAACTTCTGCTGATTTATAAGCATGTTCATTGTATTTAGTTGTTGATTTTTTTTATCAACTACAAAGTTTTTCTTTGTGCTTCTAAGTCAAGAATTTGCTCAGCAATTTTTGCAACCCTTTTTCATTTGGTTTTTTTCGCTGGAAATTGATGCGCTGCCAGAAACCGGTTAATAAACTTGTATGTGGGTCAAGTTTTGTCTTGATAACACACGCACACACACGCACACAGCAACAATAAAAGCAACAGGCGTGTCAACTGCAACAACAGCAACAATAAAAAACAAACAACTTTGAATGGGGCAACATTAAATTCAGTTGGGTTCTCAGTGTTTGTGTTCGAGTTTGAGTTGAGTTGGGTTGGGTTCAGCTAGTTCGGTTTAGATTTTATTAGATAGAATAGAAGAATTCCAGCAGGAGTTGAGCTTCAGCTAGTTCTAGGCCAGGTAAAAGCTTTCCGAACCGAATCAAATTCCATTTCGCTGAAATTCCCAAAAATAAAATAGACAAAAAAGTAAAAACAAGTCCTTTGCAGCTGCAGAGCTATGCCAGCTGCACGATCTATTGTCTTCTAAAGTTTGAGGCATAGTTGATAGAACAAATGCTGAATAGCTTTGAGAGGAGATAGATCAAATGCTGTGGAGTGAAAACCTGAAACTGAGTGAGAAAAGCAGATCAATATTGAGGTTCCTTTTCTTTCGGAGCTCTTTACTTACACAATGAATTCTTTTACTCTGAAGAATAGTTGAATACGAATATAGTTGAACCACATTTGGAGAAGAAAACTTCAAGCTGCGTAGAAAAATAAAACAGAAATTAAAACAAGTGTGTGCTAGTCGAGAGTGCCTGACTAGAATATACCTTGAACGCTGCATAGTTTATAGGCAATTAATGCATATATTTATAGTTAATTGTCTCTGCCACGCCTTCTTCTGGCTGTTACATACAGTGTCACAAAACCATAATACCCTAAACTCACAATGGACTTAGAGTATATAGCTCTGAAGTTTTCTTGCTTACCCAATTTCCCTCTCGTCGATATCAGCTTGAGCGTATTTTGGAAAAAATAATTTGTCTCTAGCACATCGATGCATTTCTTGCATATCGTTTTGGGGTATAGATCGGTTGGCGTTATCTTCAGGCCATATGCCTTCATTTTCTCGACGAGTCGCAAACGCTGGCCGCAGCCCATGTAAACATGAATCATTGACGTCTGCCACTGGTGGCAGATGCGGCAGCGGCAGCGAGCTAGCGGTGCATATTCAATGCTTCCCATTCTGAGGCTTATCTATCAAACTATATATCTTGTTTATTGCTATAACTATGTTGATACTACTTTATGTCTTATGCATATATATTTTGCCTTAAAAGTTTTCTCTTTAAGATTTGACATCATAAACAAAGCTAGTTTCAGTGGATTTCCCTTCAAATATGTTAATATCTGGTACATTTATTATTTCTTTAGCTTATCTGTTTATGCAGCTGCACTTATTTAATTTAATTTTCCGATATCTTTAAAGCTTCTTTCAAGCATCACTGGCTGCTGGCTATTGGCTTTGCTTATTGTTTTCTGGTCAAATATTTTAGATATCTTTACTTTAGTTCGTTTTCTCTAGAGGACTTTGCTTCTCTCTTTTCTAAGTTCTTGTTGTATAGTCTTGTATAGTCATCGTGTTTTTCTTATATTTCTGTAAACTTGCCTTGATTTTCTTATAATTTGCTCAGCTGTAGCTTTTATATAGCTTTTAAAATCTGTAAATGCTTCTCAGTTAGATTAGTTAATTTTGATAGTATTCATAAAAAGACTACTACTATCTACAGACTTTTTAGTTTTATATTGTGTACGTGACAAAAACTAACTTAAGTGGTAAATTAAATGGAATTAACAAATATATATATTTTTCTTATTTTATCTATTTATTTCAATAGTTTTATATTAAATTATTTTTCTATGCAAGTTGAATGTACTTTATAATATAGCACACAGAAAAGTTGTTCTTTCTCTCTCTATCTCTCTATCTGTTACTATCCCAATCTGTGTGTGGGCGCCCAGATGTCAAAGTCGCGTTCTGGGCCTTCGCATTAGCATGCGCCAGGGCAAAGTCAAAGGCGTTTGCCCAATTGCAGACTCGGAACGAGCCAAGCGCATTGCGCAACGGCAGACAGACAGTGAGAGGGGCGTGGCTGAGGGGTAGGCGGGAGATGGAGAGGAAAGTTGGCAAAGAAATTGCAATTTATTATAATTTAATCTAGAATAGAAAATGAAATAGACGGCGGCTGTTGCATACATTGTTGCCAGCGATTGCGGCCTTTTATCTACCGTTAGGCGCTGCCAGTGTCAATAACACAGAATATGTGGGTAGCAGGGAGAAGCAGAGAGATTGTGTGTGTGTGTGTGTGTGTGTGTGTGTGACTGAGTGTGTGTAATGCACGTGCGTGCGCGGGGGCGTCGCTGTCTACTGTTTGGTCAGCGGCAATACAATGGAGGGCAACGGCACATGGAGCGATAAATGTCATAGTTGACAGTCACAGTTAACAGCCATAGTTGACAGTCACAGTTGACAGTTAGAGTTGCCAGTCACAGTTGACAGTCACAGCTAACAGACACAGTTAACAGCCACAGCTGAAAGCCAAGATCGCAGTCGCTGTCACGATTACAGCCACATGTCAAGGTAGACAATCAAATCACAGGTTACAGTCACATTTGTCAGTTACGAGCACTTTCATCGTTCAGAGTAACGATCACATTTACAAAGGTTACTGTCACAGTTCACAGTCACAGTTACAGTTAACAAGCACGACCATAGTGCCAGTAGCAGCTCACAGTGAACATTCACAATTGACAGTTCACGGTCACAGTTTACAGTCACAGTTTTCGATCATAAGCACAGTCAAAGTCACGATCACAGTCACAGTCACAATCGCAGTTTCAGCTGACGGCGCTGCTTGCGGTTGACTGTTGCATGGCTTTTGTTGCTGCGGCCGCTACTGCTTAGCAAACGAATAAAAATTAATTCAAAAATAAATTATTGTCATTGTCATTGTTGTGGTGGTTGTTGCTGTTGTTGTTATTGCTGTTGCTGCTGTTGTTGCAAGCTATATTAGTTTAAATTGCGGTTGCAGCAGCAGCAGCTGTCAGCTTTTTATTGTTGTTTGCCGACATAGTTGTCGCAGTCGGTTGAGTGCATTCACTTCTATCGCATTGTTGTGACCTTTGCTAGGCTGCGCAAGTTCAAGCCAAATGAACGTTCTTGAACTTAGCCAAACATTCATATAATAAGCAGCAGCAATATTATGATTATTGTTATTACAGTCGTCATTATTATCAGTCGTTTACATAGCTTTGCATTTGTGAGTGAGCAAAAATAGAAGTAATAAATCAATGGGGTAGTAAAACACTTGGCGTATACGTAATATGCAAATGCATTGCGCATACGCCTTGATGACCGTCGTAACGATATGTGCATCGTTTTGTGACCAGACCAAAATGTGAAGGATAGGAGAATAGAATGGAGGCTATAGAAGCTAAAAGAAACAAATTGAAGAACAGATAAACCTAATTTCATTGCCGTATATCAGTGCCTAATGTCTTATAGAAGTACCTTAGAAGTACCTAAAAAAAAGAAATAGTTATAGAAGATGTACCTAGGCTAAAGGCATTACAAACCATACCATAAGTTACATCAGTTTGTTTGACATTTCTTACAAATGAGGCAGAAACAAATTGTGGAGACAAGGGTGCTTGCAACATGTTGCATAAGAGCCAAACCGCACACATAAAACGTGCATCTAATAAACCTTTTTTGTTTTCCTTTTTTTTGAAGCCTAACGCATTAAATCATAAAAATGCCCGAATGAATTTTGAGGAAGCTAACGAGAAACAGGTCGAAAAATTTAAGCAAATGGCTTCGGCTTTTGCTCGAGTGTGTGTGTGTGTTGACATTAGGCCAAAATAAATAAATAAAATAGCAGCGACTGTGGCACAAACAGAAAACAAATGTGGCAAGCATTTTTGGCTCTTGAAGCGCCTCGCATTTTATGAGTTGCACTTTTTTTCCCTCTCTCCCTTTTAGGTTTTCATACACTGCTTTGAAAAGTGGAGAGAGTATATTGGTATCTGTTTGTATCAAGCTGAATTTATTCTAGAGTTGGCGAGATATGTTATAATGGATTTATGTGTATTAGAGCGCAAGTATACCTAGAAAGTATGACATATGGTAATACTAAGTACAGTATTGGAGAACAATACAATGAATGTTGATCAAAGAGAATCTACTATAAAAATTGATTCAACCTTTTTATTTTCCATTTTTTAAATATATAAATTTAAAATTTTTCAAAAACGTTGAGCGAGCATTACGAAGTCGGAATGTAAAAACAATATTCTTTGCTTTTGCTATGGTTTATAAGTTGCAGCAACTAAATGGATTCACAAACACACACACACGCACACTCTAAAAGCTATTACATTAAGATCAACAGTAACGACATCAATAAACAAAAATAATCAAAAAATCATCCAAAATAAAAAACAACAAAAAAAGAACAACAAAAAAGGCGGCTAATAACCTTAAGTTGCTTTTGCTAAGAGTCTTTTTTCGAGTTGAGAGCAGAAAAATTTGTGTGTGCATACACCGCTAGAAGTCAGTAGTGACTGGGACGCGAAGAAGTTTGTAGTAGTTGAAGAAAAGAATAAATAAAAAAATTACAAAAAAAATTTAAAAAAGTATATTTAATAAAAAAATAAGAAATATAAAGAAATTTCTTGAATTCCTATTTGAAATTTATTAAAATAATTCGAATTTCATAAATTTTATATATATTTAGTTCTACCAAAAAATAATTTTGTATTATGCACATGACGCTTTACTTGAATTTCTCTTAGTGTAATTGCATGTATAACATTAATAGTTTTTAGAAATAAAAATCCTATGTAACACATTAAGCCAAATTAATAAAAATAAAAATAAAATGAAATTAAGTTAATTTAGAAAACACCAAATAAAAATGAAAACAAAAAATTATAATATAATAAAAAAATTAATAAAGCAACTAAAATATTTATAATTATTTAAAATTTATTATTTAATTATATGATATTTAATTATTTACTTGCAACATTTTTCATAAATATCCAAAATGGTTTACATTTAGAAAACTGAATTTTCTTTTATACTGCATATTTTGCTACACTTGAATTTCTCTCAGTGTAATCGCGTGTATAACATTAACTGCTGCCAAGACATGGGACGTGTGTAGCCAAATGATGGGGAAAAGGCATTTCAAGTATGTGTGTGTGTGTTAGTGTGCGTGTGTGTGTCGCTGCTGTTGTTGTTAGCCGGCTGTTGTTGCTGTTGCCATGGCCGCTGTCGCTGCCTCAGCTGCTGCTGCGGTTGCTGCGGCAACGTCTTTCACATGGGTTTTTCGAGAAACCTATAGACCTACATTTTAAACAAATTGCGTTTTTTTCTTCTTTTTGTATGTGCGTGTGTGTGTGTGTTGTTTGTGATGTGATCAACAATTTTTTTTGTTTTCGTTTTGTTTTTCTTTTGCTGTTAGCCGTTGTTGCTGTTGCTGTTGTCTGTTTTCATTATTTGGCTGCGTTGGGGTTTTCTTCCAAGAAGCGGCGACTGCAACAGATGAAGATGAAGGAGATAATGATGAAGTTAATGATGATTGCAAGACGAGTCAGTCAGTCACTCAGTCAGTATGGCAACTATTTGAGCTGTCTCTTGTTAAAGCTGCTTCTTTCTACCTCTCTCTCGGTCTCTGTCTCTCTTCTCTACTACTTCGCTTCTAATCGCTGTTTGTTGTTTCTGCATCATCATCAGCTTTGTGTTTTATTGTTATTGTTGTTGCTTTTTGACGACTGCGTCATCATCGCTGATCGCTCTCCTGTTTTGCGCTTTGCCTCTGCCCTCTTCCGCTCTCTCTCTCTCTCTCTCTCTCTCTCTCTCTGCTGCTGCTGTCTTTAATGCGTCTGTGTCTCTGCGCTTGCGGCAGTGGGTCTTCACTTTCGCCAATTCTGAGCTACACTTGGCAGGTTCAATGGCCGCTGCGCTGGCAGCCGGCGTCGCTCTGCCGCCGTCGACGCTGGCAGCGAGCGCAATTCGCACGTTTTCGACGCCTGTTTAAAGCTATTTTCTTGTTGTGTTGTTTTTGTTGCCTTTTGCGCTGCGTCTCTGGCAGCAAACGTCATTTGCTCATTTCATCATTTGTTCATTTCATTTGTTTATTTGTTTGCGTTTGTCAAGCGTTTCATTTCAGCGCGTTCCGCGTTTTGCTTGTTGTTGTCGTTGATATTGCTCAATTCCTAGCGCTGCTGCGTCTTCTTTCTTCCCTTTTTTGTCTCAGTTGGCAACAATTTTATTGACACATTGTCGTCGAGGTATATATGCAAAATAGTATCCCAAGTCTTCCAAGTTTTTGCCTTTTATAGATTCAGCAAAAATGAATGTGTAAGTCGATGCAGCTTGCTGCATCTTTTTCTTGGAGGAGTTAGTGGTAGGACTAGGGTAGAAGGAATAAATGAAATAGTTCTTAATGGAAAAGAGTACATTGGTTTCTTGCAAATGTCCATCTTGGTTGCCACTCGTCTATAGTCTTAATGTTTAGCTTACTTTCTGCCAACTGTATAGACAAACAGCTAAAAACCCGCCAAATGGAGAGCTAAGAAAAGTTCAATGAACCAGAATTTAAAACATTCCTAATTGAAGCTCAGGCTTAATAAACACTTTTAGCTCTCTTTAATCAAACTTGTTAAATGTCGCAAATTATAAAACTATGTAATAATCGTCTCAAAACGCCCAA